TGAGCCGAGACTGCACCACTGCACTCCAGCCTGGGCAGCAGAGCGAGACTCCATATCAAAAAAAAAAAAATAGCCTCACATTTATACACCTTCCTAGTTTAGGTCTGTTTTCCTAAGCCAGTTCAATATCAGAAGAAATAAAAGACATCCTTTCACATCATCTGAAAGGAAATTACCCCTTTACCTAATACATAACTTTGAACTAATTCAAATCATAGTAATAGAATTTCTATCGTAATAGAAATTCATTTTTGGTTTTATATTGCTTTAATATTTCATGAAAGCAATTTCTGCAGTTACACAGTGATGGGACTGGTCCCTCCCTCTTTACCTGGATGGTGTAACGCTGTCTGGCTGATGTCTCCATCTCTAGTCTCTCCCTTCCTAAACTATCCTGCACACAGTCATCAGATAAACTCTCCACAAGTGGTTTGCAAAGACCAGCACTTCCTGGGAAATTATTGAAGACGCAAATTCTTGGTCCCACTCTAGACCAACTGAATCAGTAACCACGAGGGCGGATCCGGAACTGAGTCTAACGCCCCTCTCAGGGATTGTGATGCAGATCTATCTACAGCACTGCTGCGGTAACACGCTTCCCCATGATGGCTCCTCAGCTGGGCATTCAAAGCCCTAGAAGATCTGGCTCCAATTTCCTACTCTCCCTCCTTGTACTCTACAAGTACTCATGGCATTCCTGGAATACTTTCCTGCGCTTTGCCCTTCTCCCATTTTCCTTTTGCAAGTTTAGAATATTTTCCCCAAGATGTCTGTCTGATGTTACACGATGGCCCTTCAAAGTCCTATTCAAATGGCATTGTTCTAGTAACATCCTCCTGGGTCCAGATTGAAGGCATTTTCCCGTCTTCTGTGCTCCAGAAATAATTTATCCCTCCTATGCTGCAGAAACAATATATCCCTCCTAGTGCCCTCATCCATTTATTCTTTTTAAAGTAGTTATTTTTTATCCCATTTCTTCTGAGCATAAACTCCTTGCAAGCATGGACTAGGTCTTGCTCATCTGCATTGCCCACCATGTTTAAAACTGACACGTGGAAATAAAGCAAATTCAAATATTTTTAAAATAAATGAATAGCTGGGGGAGTGAGTGGAAGGAAAATGACTATTTTAAAGGAAACGTAGTTTTATTACTTCATGGCCTCTGTAGCACTTTGGCATCCACTTGAGGGTCTTTACACCCACTTTCCTTAATCCTTCTACATTGAAAGAATCTGTTTGCACAAAGAGCATCACTAATGAGCTTAAGAAGGATTAATGACATACACACTTCTCTGACTGTGTGCAGGATAGTTTAGGAAGGGAGACAAAGGATAAGAATCAAGCTTTCATAACAATGAACATAGTATCTTCTTGTCTCTAAACAGACAGAAATACTATGCGGGTATCCCTTTCTTGGTAACACGGCTGGGGAGATAGTTATTTTGTAATTAGTGAAGAGTTAGGGGCATTTCTGGTATACTTCTGAGTGTAAACATTTCTAGCTCTACCACTTAACCACCATTTTAAACATCTGTTTTCATATAACAATTCCTGAAATGAAATCCTTAATACCAGTCTATTCTCTTGGGGGCTTAATATTCTTGATAATATTATCTATATAATTCAGCTGATTTTTAATAAATGTTAATTTAATTTCCATTAAATTACCAAAACATTCTGGATTAATGACGTTCAAATGAATGTAGATGGTCTATATCTTCTCCTTTAGGCAATAATCTGAAGTTAACTTTAATTCCTTTCATCCTACTCAACCAACTTTTTCAAATCTGTTTTTTGTGAAGGTCAGACAGTAAATATTTTAGGCTTTCTGGGCCACATGTGATCTCTCTCACATATTTCTCTTTGCTGCTTTTCTTTTTCTTTCACAGTCCTTTAAAAATGCAAAAATCTTAACTTAATGGGCTATTTAAAAATAGACCATACATTAGATTTTATCTGTTGGTTGTAGACTGAGTAGAAGAAGATGGTGTGTGAGCACTTATAAAACAAGGTTCATACGGGTGTCAGTCAGTGCTCAGATCTTCTTACCATGTGAAATCTTTTTCTGTCTGTATTTTGTCTATGGAATTAAAAAACTAAAAATGCATAGGAGGTAACTAATGCTAGAGATGGGCTGAGACCCTATACAAACTTACAGAATTGCAGAATTTTGTTGCTGGAAGAAATCTTAGAGATTATCTAATTTGAAACCCTTATTCGTTTTACAGATTATATGACTAAAAACTCATAAATGTGATTAACTAACTTACAAATACTGGAGGGATAGCAGGCCTTCAAATGAATCCTTATGTAATTCAGTCAAATAATTTTCATTGAGAATTCTGGAAAATGAACAAGTTATTTCTAGATTAAAATGCAAAGTACAACTATTTGCCGCACAGGACTATGTCCTGCATGTGGGGGAAAGCTGGGTCATGATCATTTTAAGAGGGTGGTATCTGCTCTGCTTTCATTTCATTTCATTTCATTTTCATTTCAAAACTAAATAAAGCAATTCTCCTGCCACAGCTTCCCAAGTAGATGGGATTACAGGCACCCACCACCAAGCTTGGCTAATTTTTGTATTTTTAGTAGAGACGGGGTTTTGCCCTATAGGCCAGGCTGGTCTCAAACTCCTGACCTAAGGTGATCCGCCGACCTCGGCCTCCCAAGGTGCTGGGATTACAGGCATGACCCACTGCGCCTAGCATGTGTTTTATTTTTAATTTAGAACTCATGCATGACTTGTCTATATACGTTGAACTAATGATGTGACACACAAACTGTTGTGAAAAATGCCAGTTACTTCGAATGTAAGCATTTTTTCCAAAATCATTTGTGTCTAAACCAGTTCTTTCTACAAATCAGTAAGAAAATTATAAAATGATTCAAAAGAAGAATGAACAAAGGCCAGAAAACTCAGAGAAGAAACACAAATGCTCTATAAACATATAAAGACATTTAATTAAATTCATGAGTAATCAGAAAAATTCAAATTTAGATGGAATCCCTTTTATTCATGCATAACTTCAACAAAAAGTTGGAGAATACCCAGTGGTGAAAGGTGTGGGGATATGAATGCTGTCATCCTCTGCTGACAATAGAGTAAGTTGGGACATTTTTGAGGGCAATTAAAATTTTATATCTACATAGTCTTCACCCCAACAATTCCATTTCTAGATATCTATTCTACAGGAATACTTGCCCATGTTCACAAAGAAGCATGTACAGGGATTTCATTTCAGCAATGTATGTAACAATAAAACTAAACTAAACATTCATCAATGGGGGAATTATTAAATAAACTATGATGCATCCAGACTAGGGATGATGCAGGAGTTTAAATGAATGGGGTCACTCTCTGAGTACTGGGAAGGAAACAAATCTAAGGCATATTATGAAGTGAAAGAATCAAGTTGCAAGATGTTACCATTTATGTAAATAAAAAATTTAAAAACCACACAACAAATCTATTTTGCTTTATGTAAATATGTATGTAGGCAAATGGGAAAAAGTCTGGAAGGATGTACACTAAATGCAGAGTAGCATTACCTCAGGGATGAGGGGGTAGGGCACAAGGAGGGTTTTTGTTATACCTGTTACTACATTTTTATACATTAAAAATAGAATCATGGACCAGGGGTGGTGGCTCACGCCTGTAATATGAGAACTTTAAGAGGTCAAATGGGAGGATCACTTGCGCCAAGGAGTTCAAGATCAGACTAAGCAACATAGGAAGACCCTGTCTCTACAAAAAAAATATAAAATTAGGTGGGCGTGGTGGCATGCACCTGTGGTCCCAGCTACTTGGGAGGCTGAGGTGGGAGGATCACTTGAGCCTGGGAGGTGAAGGCTGCAGTGAGATGTGATTGTGCCACTGCACTCCAGCCCGGGGACAAATTAAGACCCTGTCTCTGAAAAAAAAAAAAAAAAAAAAGAAGGACAAAAAGGAATATAACCATGTATTATTTGTGTGATAGAAAATAAATTTAAATTGCCTCTTATTTTAAAGAGAGCCTACCAAATTTAATTTTTAAATAATCATAGGATTGCCGTCAACAGTGGCTGATTTCGGGTATGAAGGAGAAATTTCACAGACTTCAAAATTCTGGACCGAGAAGGATCTTACATTGCAGTTAGTTTTTTGTCAAATTTGGAGAGAATATACTCACAGTTTCTCGGTCCAAATGTATGCTTTCCATACATTTCCATCAATGTACGAAATATAGTTTCCTTGGAAATTTCTGTGAAGAAACACAGTTTATATCCTTGAATAGGTAGGACAAAAATGAACAGGATAAATAAAAGAATCATGGCAACCTTGTTGGGGATATTCAGTTACAGAAAATAACACCTGCTTTCTTATTTCCAGAGCTATCAGCTTCCCAGTTTGCACAATTCACCAAGAAACAATGCGGGGCCACTGGCACAAATGATGAGGCATCTCCTGGAAGCTTAACTTCCTATCCGTCCCATCTCTTGGACAAACAGTGCCAGTTAATTACTTTGAATGTAAGTATTTTATCCAAAAGCACTTATGTGTTTAAACAAACTCCTACAAATCAACACAAAAATGGTAAATAATTCAACAGAAAATGGGAAAAAGCTTATCACTATCAATAAATAAGCAGAAAGAAACCCTATGCCAGGTAGACCAAAGCTTTGCCCTCTGCTGAAACATCCTAGGCTTTTTCTTTCCACTCTTATTACAACCGACCTCATTTGGCCCCTTCACACTTTACTCCTACGTTTTGCGAGACCTTTCTATTCTGTGTCCCTGAAATAAGCTTTTCCTTTTGAGCACTCTACATATGGATTCTAAAATAATCCTTTGCATGTCTACACTTGAACGTAAAGCAAAAAAAAAAATAAAATAAAATAATCCTCCCATTTTAATCATTTAATCTCTCTTGCTTGGAAACTTTCAATGGCTTTCCATACCTCACTGTGTAACTTTCAAACTCCTATAGCTGACAGTCAAGGTTTTACATAATCATATCTTCACTGCTCCCTCACCTAATTCTTTGCAGCCAGATTGATCTACTAAATTCCAACCATACCTGTAGCCATGCCTTTGCCTAGACTGTACCCCCATTTTTTTTCTATTTAACAAATTACAGTTACTCTTTAAGACCCAAGTAAAATTTTAGCTTATCCATGTAGCTTTCCCTGATCTCCACACCTCAAGGATCACAGATTCTGGCAAATTCTAGCACCTGTGGTCTGCATTATCTTTTAGTCATTAATTATATATACTTCCCTTTTTATGCCTATTCTCTTTCTTCCCTCCTATCATTTTCATGTTCTGGAGACAGTAGCATACTTGACCCTGGGTTTGACACAAAACGAGTGCTACATATAGAAACCTAGGGACAACGATGAGTTCTGCACAAAACTAAAGGACTCTCAAGTAATCATGTTAACAGTCAACACTCCTACATATGCTAGGCACTGATGAAGTGTTTCATATATTCATTCACCTAAATTTCACAACAATCCTATGAAATGGGAACTGGCATAATCCCCAGTTGAAAGGTGAGGAAATTGAGTCACAGAGCGGAATAACTTGCTCTGGGTCACCAAGCTAATAAACAGACCTGGGTTCAACCCCAGGCAGCCTGGCTCTGGAATCAACTCTTAACCACTTAGAGCCTCATCACTGAGAT